CCCAGAACTCAAAATGAGTGCCCAAACCAGTGGGCAGTACACCGTAGATGAAAGGATGGTTCACTAAGATCTCTGCCTGCTCTCCAGCTTTGTCGCAGGTTTCACACTCCTCCCAGACCTCCTGCAGCAAGCTACCAGCCTTTCCTGGCCTCATCCCTTTGTAGTTTGCTGCATGGATGTGTTGGCTTTGTGCAGATGCCTGGTGTGACACTCTCTTGTCTCCAGTGGCTCCCGAAGCACTACCACATTGTGTGTGAACAACACAAGGAAGAGCTGCTCTGATTGCAGCTCTGAGAAGTCCATGGTTCTGGCTCAAGAGTTCGATAGGTGTTGGCTCTGACATTGTGCTGACAAGTAGTGACTGCCTCGTTTGGTGTTCTCAGGAGCTGGTCAGGAAGCAAAGCTGAGAGGAAGCAAATAATAGAAGATGCAAAGCCCTGAGAGAAACCCATACTTGCAGAGTGGTTGCTCGTGTCCGAGCAGCTGTGGGCAAGGTGAGGCTGCCTACTGCTGGACTCTCATCTGTAGCAGCTGAGCTGGTGAGGAGAGGCACATGCTTTTTAATTTTCTGGTGACACCAAGCTGGGATGACCTTGAGAAACAGCCTAAAATAAGGGGATCAACTTTAACAGGGACACGTGCAAAGTTCTGCATGTTGGGCATGGGCTAAACCACCTCCCAGGGACAGTGTGGGAATGACTGGCTGTGGAATTATCTCCAGATAGAACATGGAGGGGTTATAAAGTTGGAAATGTACCAACTGATGACAACAGCAGGTATAGCGTTTGATATATTATGGCTTCCTGAGCATTTTAAACAGTCAAAGAGCCCAGGAAAGTTAAAATAAAACCAGCTAATTTGAAAGGCATGGAAGGAGTGTGACATAGCCCCTCTCCAGCTGAATTGTGTTGGGAATGATGCAAGAGCTGGGCTGGAAAACAAACCCAGTGGTGTTGTGTTTGTGTCTTCCCCAGAGAATGAAGTGTCATCCTTCCCTTGTCCTGCTGCTTTCAGGTCATCCAGGGCTGAAGCATGGAGTGCCTGGTTTAAGGATGGGGAAAAGGTGTGAGGAAGAAAGTCCACCAGCTGATACGAAGCAAGCTGTATGGGTTTTGTGGCACTTAGTAGCTGGGAAAAAAAAAAAAAAAAGAAGAACGCAATGTGCCTTGTTATTCTCTTATGCACAAAAGCTAGCCCTCAGGGACTGGGTTTTACCTGCCAAGGAAAAGGGCTGATGCTTCCTGGTGATTTTCTTCCAAAGGGATTGTTTTTCCAGAGCCCTGCAGTTCAGCAGGAAGCCTCCCCGTGTGAGCAGCAATCCCAGGCACTGCTGGAGATCTGCTTGGGCTGGGTTTGGCTGCAAGGAGGCAAGGAGTTGTCTTTCCTCAGGCAGCCCTTCTGAGGCAGGAGTGTGGGGAGCTGAGTGTGTGCTTGCCCTGTCAGGGTGGACTCCTGCTCAGCCTGGGGGGCTGAGGGGATCCTGGCAGCTCTGGGGTTGAGAGACTCCCAGGTCCCGGGGAGGGGTGGGGTGGGGGGTGTGAGGTGGGTCCTGAAGCACTGAGGGGGTCAGAGTCCAAGGAACTTGTGAATGATCTATAGAATCACAGAATCCCAGGCTGGTTTGGGTTGGAAGGGACCTTAAAATTCTTCTGGTTCCAACCCCCTGCCATGTGCAGGGACACCTTCCACTAGACCAGGTTGCCCCAGGCGCCTGTGTCCAACTTGGCCTTGAACACTGCCAGGGATGGGGCAGCCACAGCTTCTCTGGGCAACCTGTGCCAGAGCCTCAGCACCCTCACAGGGAAGAACTTCTTCCTTATATCCAGTCTAAACTTCCCTGTTTAAGTTTAAGCCCATCACCCCTTGTCCTATCACTACAATCCCTAATGAAGAGTCCCTCCCCAGCATCCCCATAGCCCATCTTCAGATACTGGAAGGCTGCTATGAGGTCTCCACGCAGCCTTCTCTTCTCCAGGCTGAACAGCCCCAACTTTCTCAGCCTGTCTTCATACGGGAGGTGCTCCAGTCCCCTGATCATCCTTGTGGCCCCCTCCGGACTTGCTCCAACAGCTCCATGTCCTTACCATGTCCATCCCCGGTACTTCAAGCTCCTTCCCCGCACCCACCGCCAGACCCAAGTCGGGGCGGGCTTCCCGGCGGCCCCGGCAGGGGGCGGTAGAGTGCGCGCTGCCCGCCTCCCTGGAGCTGCGAGGGCAGTGTCCCTCCCGCTTCGGGTGTCCTCGGCGCTCGGGGATGACGTCAGGGGGCGGTGCGGACCCGCGGGCCGGAGCGGGCGGAGGTGAGTTTTGGGGCGGCCGCCTCCTCAGCCCGGGGGGGACGGGACGGGGGAACAGTCTCGGCCCCGTCCGCCCCTGCCTTCTCCTGCCGGGGTGCTGGCGGCTCGGCATCGCGATGAAGCAGCGGTGCGGCCCGGGAGGCGCGGGTGCGCCGGGCCCCGGCGGCTCAGCCGTGCCGCTGCCTGGGGTGCTGGGCGGCGGGTACGGGCGGGTCAGGGAGGGGGCCCTGACCACTGGGCCGGGCCGGAGTGGGCACGGTGCTTCCAGGCCTGGAGTCGAGCCTGCCGCGGGACGAGCTACCGGCCCGGCCCTGGGTCCCCTCGCTGGAAGGGATGGGGAAAACCGGCGTGTTTCGGGATGAGTTGTGAACAATAGTCATAGAATTATGGGTGGTCTGACCGACTGTGGCCTGCGCCGGCTCCAGCATCGCAGGCTGCAGTGCTGCAGCAGCCGCAGCGCCGGATTTCCCTGTCAGCCAAGCGGCTGCTCACACCAGGTTCATGTCAGGCAGTAAGAGGCCCGTTTAAGGTTTATTAGTAACACTAAAGGAAGGTGCTGTGTGTGAGCATCTCATAATGCAGTTAAGAGTTGCTGTCTTAAAATTTCCTTTGTGGCAGCTCATAGAAAAGCTAAGTTAAATCACTTCAGGTTGTGAGATAACCTAATTGTTGGTGGAAGGCCCACTCAGCCTAGGGTGGGTTAGTCAGTGCCTGACACCGCTTACCACAGGGCCACCCCCAGGGAGTCAAAGCTGAAGGAAGCTTCTGGATCAGTAAGAGCTGAGGTGCTGTCCTGCTGAGCTGTGGGATGTGATGTGCTGGTGGCAATAAGAAGAGGAGTGGGTGGACACTGAAGCATAAACCCTATATTCCTTCTCGCATCTGCAGCTTGGGCGTGGTGTCCTCTCCCATATCTTGGCACCTGTCAAGTATTTGATGTCCTACTTGGATAGGGCTTGGGATGTTCCATTTCTGCAGTGCTTTTGTTCCTTCCTCCAAACTGCTGGTGATTATTACACAGGAGAATTTCCACCAGTGCTGACACAGACTTAAGCATTTTGTTGCTGGCTGTGGCATTATTCTTTCAGCTTCACCGAGATGCTTACACATACAAGGAAGAGCCACAGACATACTGGTAGTTGCTGCCTGATCTCAGTTAATGTTATTACTGGATTTATATATGATGTTTTCAAGCTCAGCATTTGATCCTTCTTCTTGGTTTTATTTACAAATGGGACATTTTACATGAATGCTCCTCTATAAGTGGAATTACTCTGTAGTAATCTGTTTCTCGTTTCTCTCATTTGATGTCTGTTAATTTAATCTGTTTTAAGGTACAACAATGCTGGGAAGAGCTCTCAGAGGCATTATTCAGGGCTAGCTGTAGTTCTTGATTTCTTTATTGTCATGGTACTTGAATCTGAATGAGCACCCAGTTACAGGACGGTGCTTGGTGAAAGTCAGTTGAGCTTTCTATGAAGTTGGGTTTTATTTCTACTGCACTGTTTGTGCATGTTCAACTTCCATGAGGAGTTACTTTGATGATGTCTGATTTTAAAAATCTTAACAAAGCCTTGTTTTCCTTCCAGATTGGATGTAGAGACTAAACTTCTTCCAGGTGTCCCTCTAAAACATGTATTTCTCCATGTAATCCTCCTGATGGAACACCAGCCGGGGTTCCCTTCCTGCTGTTCAAGCTGACTGGCTGCTTGTAGAGGTGGTGAATGGCGAGCATATTCTCGGTGATGGCAAGTCCTACAATTACATTTCAAGTCTAACGGCATCTCCATAGCCTTCTGTGAATGCTCAGGCACCATATTCCTGGGATCTAAACCAAAGAGCGGAATTTAAATCTGCCTGGCTAACTGCCACAGCACAGACAGGCAGTTTCTCCATCTCCTAAACCAGTCATATTGTTCTAATCAAGACTTGCTGAAGTGCATCTGATTTGGTTCTGTTGGAATACAGTGTGGTGAGCAAGACCTCCTCCTAGTCTGGAACAGCTGGTAGAAATTCCACTTGCACTTCCTACATGCAGCCCCATATGAAAAAACAGAAGTGAAGCAAAACTAAGTCTAGAATCATAGAATGGTTTGGGTTGGAAGGGACTCTAAAGCTCATCCAGTTCTAACCCCCTGCCACAGGCTGGGTCACCTTCCACTAGACCAGGCTGTTCCAAGCCTGGGTGGCCTGGCCTTCAGCACTGCCAGGGATGGGGGCAGCCACAGCTTCTCTGGGCAACTTGTGCCAGGGCCTCACCACCCTCACAGGGAAGAACTTCTTCCTAAGATCTCATCTAAATCTACTGTATTTCAGTTTAAAACCATTTCCCCTTGTCTTGTAACTAAATGCTCTTGTGAAAAGCCCTTCTCCAGAATTTAATTATTATTAAGAAGTTGTGCCTGGACAAGAGGACCTCCAGAGGTCTCTTTCTAGCTCAGCCAGTCTGTAACTCCATGCTTCAGTGCTCAGCTGGGAGCAGTAAACAAGCTGTGCTTTATATAAAGAGATACTGTGTGATTTCCAGAACTATCTGTTTTGACCATGACTCTGGGTTTACAGGCACTATTACCAGTATCTTATGATGAAAGGATGAAAGCAGCAGAGCTTTTGTCAGAGTACGTAAGTACGGCAGAGTACTTTACGTGCTCTGTAGTAAAGTACACAGAACATTCCAGACTCCTTGTTTGTGGTATTTATTTGGTTTGTCTCATTCTTTTCCTAAGGTTCAAATGTGGAAATTGCCCTGGATGTGGTTGCTGCTGCCGCTCTGGGAAAATGCCTTGATAGGAAATTAACACCATTCAGTGATGGGCTGTGGGACAAGCAAAGTGCTTCCCGAGCCCCCCAGAGATGTGCAGTTAGATCTGGTGAAAAAAGTTGAACCTTACACAGGCCACAGTGAGATATACAAGCATTTCATCAAGGATGACTGCGGGATCAAAGCTGGCTCTCCCTCACCTCCACAGCATGCTAACCCGTACCCTGGGAACCACTTGCCTATCCACTTGGACCAGCCTGAGCCCCGCAAGAACAAAGTGGCTAAATACCGTGCCAAGTTTGACCCCAGAGTGACAGCAAAGTATGACATTAAAGCCCTGATTGGGAGAGGGAGTTTTAGCCGCGTTGTACGGGTGGAACACAAGGCCACCAAGCAGCCCTACGCCATCAAGATGATAGAGACCAAATATCGGGAGGGGAGGGAAGTGTGTGAGTCGGAGCTTAGTGTGCTACGGCGGGTTCGCCACACCAACATCATTCAGCTCATTGAGGTGTTTGAGACCCAGGACCGTGTGTACATGGTGATGGAATTGGCAACTGGAGGAGAACTGTTTGATCGAATCATTGCTAAGGGCTCCTTCACTGAGAGAGATGCTACACGCGTGCTGCAGATGGTGTTGGATGGTGTGAAGTATCTGCATACGCTGGGTATCACACACCGGGACTTAAAACCGGAGAATCTGCTGTATTACCATCCCGGAACAGATTCCAAAATCATGATTACAGACTTTGGGCTGGCGAGTGCTCGGAAGAAGGGAGATGACTGCCTGATGAAAACCACGTGTGGGACCCCGGAGTACATTGCTCCCGAGATCCTGGTCAGGAAGCCATACACGAACTCTGTGGACATGTGGGCGCTGGGTGTCATCTCCTACATTCTCCTCAGTGGCACTATGCCCTTTGAAGATGACAACCGCACCCGCTTGTATCGGCAGATCCTGAAAGGAAAATACAGTTACTCAGGCGAGGTGAGTGTGCTAGGGGTTATGGTGAGGGGAAGGCAAGCAAGAAGATCTTCGTAGATGTTTCTTTGTGATGACCAGAACCTGGCTGTTGTGTGCAAGGTGGTTGAAAAAAAATCTGTGATTCTGGCTTTTAAAATGCTTTGCTGTTTTCTGTCTGCTTTTCAAAACTGCTTCCAGTGCAGCATAGAGAGCGCCTTTTAAAAATGTGTGTGTAAAGAAAGAAGAGGTCTCTTCCTGTAGAACAGAACAGGGATTCTTGTGGGTCAAAAACCCAGAATAAATTAATGATTGTTCTCATATGCTTAGTTGTGACAGGTATATTGGCATTTTACTGATGGATGGAAGGACTCTAACATGTTAAGGCTTAAACATATTAAGCTTTTGGATTGTGTTTTTTAAAAAAATGAATCACTCTCTGCAGGTTTTCAGAGGTGTCATGAAGTCTTTTCTGCTTCAAAGCTGTCACGTCAGCTTGTGTTGATAGATGGAATATCCAGTTACATGAAACTGAGGAACATTGGCATTAGCATAGGAGGCCACTGGGGAAAGCCCAGATTTGACACCTTTGTGAGTTTTGTTATTTCTTCCCGTGAGCCCTCCTCAGAAACTCCCTGTGTGTGCAGAAGAGGCACGGAAGTGAGAAGTCGTAAAACCCAAAATTTGTTACTTTCTGGACCAAGTGCATTGCTTCCTTCAGGAACTGCAGTACTTGATTGATTTCTTGCCCAAAGTATTCTATCAGCTGCTTCCTTGAACTCCCAGGAACTGCTTACTTGCTTCCTTGAGCTCTAAGCTCCTGCTGACTTTGGCAGCCTTTGCTGCTTGGTTGATTTGGTTAATAGGATTTGTTAACCAGTTGGAGAGTTTTGTGGATGCAGTCAGGTTACCCTAATGCAGAAACAGATGAATTACCAGCCACATGTAACATCTGCAGGGTCACACTGAAAGACAAAGTCCTGTTTAATGTATAACCAGTGGTGGCAAATCTGTCTTGAGCAACCTGGTCTAGTGGAAGGTGTCCCTGCCTGTGGCAGGGGGTTGGAACCGGGTGAGCTCTAAGGTCCCTTCCAGCACAAACTACTCTGTAATTCCATGATTCCAGGGCATGTTCTGCCTGTTATTGCAAAATTTGGTAATTCTGGAGTCTTAGAAGCAAGCGGTGGCATACAGGTTTGGCACCTAGTTAAGTTATACTGATGCTACTGAGCTGCTGAGGTTAAAAACAAAGCTGAGGAAGTAGTGAGAAACCATGTGATAAATCGGCTGATGTTTGGTGTGGATAAACTTGAGCTGGTTCCATGGGAAGACTGGGACAGTTTGCATTTTCTGTAAATGGTGGTGGGTCTTGAAGGTGCTTCTTGCTCTTCAGAGGAAACAATCTGAGATTAAGCACTTCTAAATATCATCTTGATACTCATGATCAAAAGCCATCTCATGTTAGGAGTTAGTGTTATTGTTGCAGGTATCCTTGCTGTGCCATGGAGTGCTGTTCTGTTTCCTCTGGAGAATAAAATACAGGATTGAAAAGCACACAAGGAATGGTAGTGTAAATAATCAAAGGTATGGGCTGGCTTCCATTTGAAGAAAGAGTGACCAGACAAAGGCTTTTCCTTCAAAAAAATCAGTGAGGGGGCAGTCTGACCAAACTCAGTACAGCCCCGGGCAGAATAGAGAGAGTGAACAGAGAAGCAACTGTTTTGAGTGTTCCCTGGGGTAACTTCATTTGATGTTCTCTGGTCCTTGTGCCAGAACTCAAATTACCTTGAGAAATTTAATGACTTCATTGCAAGTAGGCCACTGGATGCTTGTAGGCTAAGTACATTGCTGTATAGATACAGAATATATGTGTGTGTGTATATATATAGTGTATATATATTGTGTATATACAAAGGCAGCACATGTGCCACAGCAAAAATATTAGACTATATGTTTAGAAAGTGCCTGTGCACAAGCCTGAAGCATTTTACTTGTTATCCCACCACAAATTACATACTTCAGGAAGCTGTTACAGATCCTGTGTATGACATGAGTGGTTGTTTTGGAAAGCTGTATATGTTTTACTGCTTGGAAAGCAAATATGTGTCAGCCAGTAGCCAGTATCTTTTGCCCAGATGCTTTCTGTTCTTCTGGAGCCAGGGAAATGGATGCTTTAATTTTCCAGTGTAATTAAATGTGTGCCTGTAAATTGCAGGCATGTTTGTCTCTAGCCAGGTATTGGCAGGAGATGCAGTAGCGGTCTGCTCACTTTGTGGATCAATTTTAGGTGAAAACAAAGTGAGCCAGAGATTTAGAGGAGCCTGTTATGTTACCCATGGCATCTTAAAGCCATCTTCTGGAGTTATAAATGCTTCCAAATTCCTGATGTTTACAGAAAATTGCTGCTTTTTCTTTTTTTTTTTCGGAGTGTTTTCCACTGTAAGAAGTGGAAAGATGTCTGAAATGAGGCTATTGATAAATTCATCACAGTAATGGAAATGGCAGGAGCTGTAAGTCCTGGTTTATTTGGAACAAGAATGGGCAGAATAACTGACTGCATTGCAGAAGCAGAGATTTCATGGGGACGACTGCTTTTCTTCTCTGTAATGTGAACTTTAAAGATGTGAAATGAAGAGGAAATGTTAAAAGCAGTCTCTGAAGTGTCCAGAGCTGACAGTCTGAGTTGTGAGGCTCAGACCAGTTTCAGTAGGGAAGAAGGGAGCTGTCTTCCCAGCGGTGCTGCTATACCCTGTCACACAGCAGCAGTGCCCTGAGTTTGCCAAGAATCAACTCCAAGCCCCACTTCTTGAAAGGTCTGGCATCAATACCTGCTCAGAGAGGACAGAGCTGTATTGAGAGAGGAACAAAAGCCAAGGTGCATGCTGACCTGAGAAGTAGCTCCATGTTCTTGAAAAACAAGCAAGCTCATGGCCAGCTAATGTAATTGCTTTCTGACTGGGACCCTCTTACCACTACTCTCCTGTTCCTGGAGTGTGAAGTCTGTTTGAAGAGGCTATTAGCAGATCAATAGGAGAGATCTCCCATAATAGGTTATTCAGGTACTGCTGACATCAGTGTTCTGATTCTCTTGTATCTCCTTCTGTACATTCTGAGCTGCTTCAAGTAATGGGTAGGGTGAGGAGTGAAGGAAAGGTTGGCTTTGTAACTTGACATGTTTTTTTCCTGAACATTTCTGAGCAAGGGTTATGTGGGTTATTGAGACTGTGTTTGATGTAGCCTCCTACAAAGTCACTTGTTTGTTAGAACTCACCAAAAAGAGCACTTGGCAATATTTTAATTGAAATCTTGGGGCTAAAACTGATTTCTGGGATCTCTTTGTAGTTTAAGAAATTGTCTGAGGAATAAAGCTGGAATTCCATTCACAGTTCCCTTTGAATTCGAAAGTGCAGAGATGAACATTGGACCACCATTATCCTGACAGACTTGCTCTGGTTCTGTTTCAAAGCTTATCCTTCTTTTGAATACTGGATGCTTTTATGTTGCTTTACACACCTGGGAAGCTTGCTGAAGAAGTGGAAGGTAATACATGTTATGGTTAAATTGGGAAACTGAGCTGGGGTGCATGGATTGTTCTGGTTTTAATACGTTAACTGGGCAGATATTTTCCCCGTGGTCTGTTTTGCTATTCATAAACCAGAATCGCCGTTTTGTGGTATGTTCACTGTGAGTGAGGTTGGTGTGTGGTGGTGTGGGAACATCTCTCAGTAAAACAAAGAGCTTATTCTAAATATTGGTGCTAGTGGAGGTGTGGATAAATGGGATATAAGGTGAGGCATGTTTGATACATGAAAGAAGCTGGGCGTTTCAAGTCTGTAGGATCTCTGCTATGCAGACAGATGATCTGGCTTATGTGGCTTCCTTAGATTTTCCAGTGGTGTTTAATAAAGTTCCTCATCAAAGACTCCTGACAAAATTTTGCATCTGTAACACAATAGCAGCCTTTGCATGGATGAGCAGTTTGCTGGAGATAAGCACAAAGCTGAAATACGTGGTCAGTCCACAGGGAAGGGAGAAAGAAACAGTGAAGTTTGTACAATCTGTTCCCTTTTGCCCAAAACTTTAAGGAGAAAGTTTGCTGAAAAGGGGTACAGTCACTGATGACAGAGATCTTCAAATGGGAAAAGGAAGAGCTGTGGACCTTAGAAGTTTTGCCTGAGTTTGAAGAACAGCTGGACCAATTCATCGAAGATAAATCAGTGGAGAGAATGACACTAAAAAGTCCCAAGAACGGATAAAGAGGTGTCTAAGCCACAAATTCTTGAGAATATGGGGGAAGAATTTTAATTGCAGTACATAGGCTGTTTTCTTGGGCTTTCACTCCTATCTGCTGTTGGCTGATGGTGGAGACACCACACTGGACTGGCTGGATAATAGAATCCCAGACTTGTTTGGGCTGGAAGGGACCTTAAAGCTCATCCAGTTCCAACCCCCTGCCACAGACAGGGACACCTTCCACTAGACCAGGTTGCTCCAAGCCCCATCCAACCCAGCCTTGAAAACTGCCAGGGATGGGGCAGCCACAGCTTCTCTGGGCAGCCTGTGCCAGGGCCTCAGCACCCTCACAGGGAAGAGCTTCTTCCCGAGATCTCATCTCAGTCTCCCCTCTGTCAGGTTAAAGCCATTCCCCCTTGTCCTGTCCCTACAGGCCCTTGTTCAAAGCCTCTCTCCAGGTTTCTTGCAGTCCCTTTGGGCACTGGAGCTGCTCTAAGATCTCCCCTTAAGGAGCCTTCTCTTCCCCAGGCTGAACCAGCCCAGCTCTCAGCCTGTCTCCAGAGCAGAGCTGCCCCAGCCCTTGCAACATCTCTGTGGCCTCCTCTGGACTCACTCCAGCAGCTCCGCATCCCTCCTGTGGTGTTGCACCAGAGCTGGATGCAGGGCTGCAGGGGGCGTCTCCCCAGAGAGGAGCAGAGGGGGAGAATCCCCTCCCTCAACCTCCTGCTCACCCTCTAGGGATACAGCCCAGCATGTGGGGGGGGTTGGGGAACAAGCGTGCACTAAAGCTGGGT